GTTCCCCCCCCCCCCCCCCCCCCCCCCCCCCTCCCTGAACATACCAAAACAAAACTTGTGGGTGGGGTGTTCGAGGTCCGAATCCGGCGTCGTGGGGGAAAGAAACCCTTGCCAGCTCATCGGGAGCTTCTCTCCCTCCCGACCGGAGGTCAACTACGGCAACAAAAATAAAAAATCAACGGGTGAAAAACGCTTACAATACATAGCCTGCACAGATAGAGCCCAAGGACGGGCGGTTTAGTGAGAATAACCGCAAAACCTACGTACAGGACCAAATCGCAGCCAACTTACTTTCTAAATGATATTTCTTGATACAGGAACAAATTGCAGCCAGCTTACGCCGCTTAGATACTTTAGGGTGCCCTTGATAAACACTTTAAAAAAATACGTCTTACAATAGATAGTGTTACAGCTAGCACAGCAGGAACGTTCTTGTTATTATCCGAATGCAAGACACACACAAGGGCGACAGAAGCCGGCAACGGTAACGTCCGGTACAAACATCGTGTCCTTTTCATGTACACGTGTCTGTGTAACAAAAGCACCACGTCCTTCTACGCCTGCAAATTTCAACCATGCAGCACCTAAAACCGATCCGGAAAGCAAGCGTGGTTCGACCCCCCCCCCGTTGCCTTCTGCGTCCCCCCTGTTCGCCGTTCCGAGCCCTGCCGAACAAAGCCACACTCAACTCTTTTCAACAAATCCCCCGTGAAACAAGGCACCACCGGCGGTGGAAAACCCGTGCTATTAACGGTAGCAGCAAATTTACCGATGTTCTTAGGGTGACGGGTCGGAACGACACATAGAAGCTGCTTCTTGCGTGAGGCCAACTCTAGGCACACCCCGGCCCCTTCACACACCACCACCCTCTTCACCTACGTCGGGGATGGCTCCCGACGCCGCCGCTCTGCTGCTGCGCCGTCGAATAGAAGCGGCCCGAGTCTGGGTGAAGTCCCGTCTTGACGCGGAACCGACTCCGGAATACCCGCCCCACATCGCGGAACGCCCGCTCGCGACCCGGTCACCACCATCATCGCCGCCATCCTCCTCCTCCTCCTCCTCGTCCTTTTCGTCCCCGTCGCTGTCGTTCAAGAACACCGCCGACGACGAAGAGTGGTGTTGGATTCTAAAACTATCCGCGGGCGACAGCCCCCTGTTGTTGTTGCTGCTCCTCCTCCTCCTGCTGTCATTGGCTTTGTAGTCGGCGTAGTCGTAGTCGTCATCGTCTTCGTCTTCGTCGCCGTTGTGTTGCTTTTCCTCGCCGCCGCCGCCGCCGCCGCCGCCGTCTTTGTCGGCGGTGTTGGAGGCCGGTGGCCCCGGTAAGCTCCGGAACGAGACCGCGGGTCGGGGACCCAACGAAGAGGACAGCGGCGTGGCCGGCGAGCTCGGGGCCAACCACGACCCCCGCCGCCGGAGCTGCTGCCGCGGTGGCCGCTGCGGCGTCCAGGGGTTGGCGTTCGAGGAGGCGTTGCTCGGAGAGCTCACCACAAGCGGCATCTGTGCGGAAAACACGCGGGTGACGATTGGAGGAGGAGGAGGAGGAGGAGGAGGAGGAGGAGGAGGAGGAGGAGGAGGAGGAGGAGGAGGGGCGACGGCCGCGTTGTTGTGATTGATTTTCGTCAGGTTTGCTTGCAGAACTGCTTGCGATTGTGATGCGGTGGTTCACACAGTAGCGCATCGGGGAAGGGGTGCTGTGGGCGAGGAATACGATCGGCAACGGTTGGGGGTGGGCGTTAGGCAAGGGAGTCAACCTGATGCTTCATGGAACGGTGAGCAACGGGATATCCTGCGTCAAACAAATACTGATCCGCCAAACGCCCACCGCAAGATAACGGTAAAAAGTATCACAACAGGGGTTACTGCTCGGACCCGGCGCGACGGGAATCATTCTTGAAAAATCGCTATTGGAACCATTCTCCCTCCGAACAGCGTCTCAAAGGATACCGACACACCACGCTTCAACCACATGCCCCGTCCCCTCGAGACCGACTCACGTTCCACCCCTCTACCCCGCCCACACTCTACAACGCGTCGATGCAGTTCAACCAAACATCCAACGACTTGAGGTATACAAAACCTGAGCTCCCCCCCCCTCCCCCAGTTCCCGCGCCCGCTACCAGGGTCCCCCCCCCCCCCCCTTCGCTCACCCTCCGAGCCAAAAAGCACGCCACGGGCCTCCCGTCGGGTAGGCGCTCAACGCTATCCTCCAGCACCTCGAACCCATGCCGGTCCCCGAAATACCTCGCCAGCTCCCCCCTCCTGAGGATCTTCTTGTAGTCCCTCGGAGACGAGTGCGGCCACCGCGCCAGGGTGGCGGCGGCGGCGGCGGCCTCTAGGGCCGCAGCCGCGGACCCCGGCTTGTTCTTCTTCCTCGCCTTGCCAACAGGGGTGCGTTCTTCTTTCCCCACCCCCTCCACGCCCGGCTGTACTGAACTGCCGCCGCCGGCGGGAGCGTCGCGACTTTCCGACGGGAGAGCGCTCTTGAGCAGACGCTCCTCCGCCTCTGCTGCGGGGTTCCCCGTTGTTGCCTCCCCCCCGCCTACCGCGGCCGTCACCAGTACTGGCGTCGCACTGGCAGTGGGCACGGCGGCAGCGACACCCTTATCATCATCAGCAGCAGCAGCAGCGGCGGCGCACCCTGCCTTACCATCCCTTCTGTCCGAGAAGGCAAGCCCTCCCCTCCCCTCGCGGTTGCTAGGCAAGCTGGGAGATCGCTCCCCGTTACGTAGACCACCCCCGGGGCCACCACCACCGACGGCACCGCCTAATACTCGCGGCGTCTCTCTCTCCTCCTCAATAAACGTCGAGAGAAGAACGTAACCGCCGCGGGGGTCCACCAGCCTGACCAGGGTGTCGAAAGCGCTGCGTTCCAAGAACCGTATCGCCACCACGAGCGCGTACGTGCCATACTCCGACGCGGGTGTCGAAGGGCGGATTATCATCTCTCCTGTGGATAGAGAGAGAGGGGCGAGGATACGGGGGTGGGGGGTGTACTCATAGTCGTGCATACCGTAGTCGTTAGACCATTGACCTCGCATCCCTACAATGTCGGGACGGAGTACGCCGGTTTCTCACCGGACCAGGTTCTCACATCACCAAGCGCAAAGCGGAGCGGAAGGGGGGAGGGTGCATACATCACGGGTCCGATCAATGGCAGACGTTCAAGGGTTGTCCTTGCAAAAGGGGCAACACCAGATGCCAGGGGAAAAAAAGCAGCACACACGGTCACTACTTCAGAGGATTGCGGTAGCCACTCTTCGGCCTAATAGAAAACATCACTGCCACCCTTGTATAAGTCAATCCTCAAATCCACCCGTACCGGTAGCGCAATGAAAAACTAAAGGTCCCTCGACTTATAGTAAGCAGCACACATATTCGGAGTATGAGGGGAATCGGCCCTAGCTGCCGCAACCCTGAGCTCCAAGGGGGACAAAAAAAACTTTCGCACACTCTGAGATAAACGATCAGTACACCGGCCAGGGATAGTCGTCAGCACACGAACGTTCTCTCCCCCGCTCCCCCTTTGCCCACAAAAAACGAAACTCCCCGAAAAGCACTTGCTAAGAAAACACTAGTTACCCTCTACCCAGATGAGGTGCCTGCCTGCGGGTGTTCGAAAAGCCCTTCAAAACGACAGATAGACCCAACGCTTTGGAAGCCAAGCGTTACCAACCACACCACACATGTTGCATCAGGCCGTCATCATTTTGGTCGTCGTCCTCACCTCCCTCCGGACCAGCACCACCCGCCGCTCCGTCTCCGCCCCCCCCCCCGCCCCCCCCATCAACCGCTTCCTCCTTCGCCGCTGCCGCCGCCGCCGCCGCTGTATCGTGAGCTTCCTCGGCCCGCACCGACACATGTATCTCGCCCGTGTGCTTCACCTTCCCTCGCAAAACTTCGACACTTTTCTCCCCAATCGCGTCGCACGGAAAGCGTTTGGGAGGCGGGGGGAAGATAGAAGCTTAGTCTGGCCACCTCAATACGGTCTGGTTGGGTATGGATAAATAGTGAAGGCGTTCGGGAGGCAGCGGGGGGGAGAGACAGAGAAGTTGAGCCCAGACAGCTCAATCACGGGCTGGTTGGGTGTGGGTAGCCCGCTGGCCGGGCGCGTCAACGTAGACTCGGGGGGGCGAAGCCCTTCATGGCGTGCTTGACCAGAAGGATAGCGTCGCGCGGAAAGTCAGCCGAGAACGATTCGTGTCGAATGGCGTTGCGTCCATCCCCGTCGGGCAAATAGTAACCCTGGCCTTCGCGAACCCCCGTGAAAACATACGTCCCCGTAGAGTTAGTGCGTAGCGTTGCCCTCTTGACAGCCCGAGACAAACGCGAATACTGCACGTGCGTGAAATCGTGGGAGAAACACGCCTTGGAAGGTGGGTCGGAAGTGCAACAAGGTCACCACGGAGCCCTTAGAAGCAAGCCAGGGAACCTCCGTATCAAGATAGCCCTCAAGCCCTAAGCCTGCCAGGAAAGCCCTTGCGTGCTAACAACCAACCCCTTACGCCAAAGCCAACCGGGGAACCTCTACGCCCGTAAGGCAGCCATAACTCCTTCACGAATTGTACACGGAGGTCCGTCGCGTCCTACCACGGCCGGCACCTTTCTGAGACGCCGTTCCTTCGCGCTAGCTGAGCCGCCTTCTGCAGCGCCTGGTTCCAGCAGTCCATCGCCGTCACCTGCCGTTTGTGCGTCGGTGTTGTTTGGCACAAGACACATGTGTGCATGCAATCACAGAGAGACTACAACGTTCTTGTTTGCGCTGAAGCACACGATGCTCAACGACTACACAGATTTTCTGAGAACATGAGTTTCCCAAGACGTTTACAGCTAATACCAAATACGCGCCCCCTCCCCCCTCCCCCCCAAACACATGCCACCATCCAATCTACCGCCGGAATTGCCACCACCGCACCACCCATCGGTTCATGAAAAAAAAAAAAAGAGAGAGAGACACAAAAAGCAAAAAAACTGCTTACCCGCCAGCCCCTCTTGGCCAACCAGACGGCATCCCTCCCCGCTCCGCAGCCGATATCGATGCAGGTAAGCGGGAGCCTAGTGGTCACGTCGGTACCAAGCGATAGAAGAAGGCGGGGGGGGCGGGGGGGACGCCGCGGATATAGGGACGGGGAGGCAAACGCACCGGAAAACAAACGCAAACTCATTTGTCACGCATGCCCGTAAATAGGTAAATATTCACCAGATCATAGACCTCGCATCCCAATAAACGCTGTGAGGCGGACGACGGGGGGTACGCCAGGCGAGTCGTACAACGGGGCGAGCTGCCTCCTGCTAGGAGTCTTGGCGCCCAAAACTGCGCGAACGTTCAGCTCAGCAGCCACGGGTTGCACTGCGTCACGGGGTGTCACTACGTGCCACGATCATCCCCATGTGTGGATTGAGTTGGCGGCGCACATATACTCCGCACACTATGGTCTAAGTCGACCGTCGCTATGGTTACCACAAGCGGGGGGGTGTTAAGGGCAAAAGGGAAGGACTTCGGGGGGATGGGACACAAAAAGAAAATAGGGGCGGCCGGCGGTGGGCTGTGCTTGTTCTTCACATGCCTTGAGACATCCACAAAAAAAAATCTGGACGGGACGGTGTTTTGCGGGTTTGCCATGGGTTTGGCTGGTTACACCGGGAGGCGTGCGCGTCTCAAGCCTCAAGGAAAAACTATCGAAATATCTATCTAAAGACCAAAGTAGAGTCGGCGGGGATGGCATGTGCGTGTGTGTATGTTCCTCCCCGTCTATGCCGGCGCCAGTCTACACATCGTTCGGTGCACATGTTCTGATGTATCAACCGGAGAGGGCAAAGGGGTCAGAGGGGTTCCAAACTCGGCCCACTCACTCACCACCCGTGCCTCAAGTGGGGCTCGATCACCGCCGCCGCTCTTGTCAGGAAAGGGGACGGGGTGAACAGGGTCGAGGGCGCCGATTGCGACGACGGCCTCGACGCAAGCACTGCTGCTGCGGAGTGGACACGATCGCACACACGCCGTAGTGCGTAAGACACCACCACCAACACAAAACGCCAGATGCAAGCGACAACGGCACGAAACCTCCAAGGCATGACGAAGCGTATTACCACGCATGTAAACGCATCCGAAAGAACAAAAACGAGCCAACGGAACAATCGAGCAGACCGGGACGACAAAAGAAAACACGAAAACACCACCATCTCCTTCCGCGAAAGCAAGCAGACTCTCTCTCTCTCTCTCTCTCTCTCTCTCTCTCTCTGTCCCACCTTTCTCCGACCACGACTCCCCCCCCTCCTCCCCCTCCTCAAACAAGAGCCCGCTCTCCCTCGCCGTCGTTAGCATCTTCTGGTCGAACACGAGAGTCGCGGTGGCCCCCTCGGCCCTGCGCCCCGTGATCTCCTCCGCGAGACCCTCGTTTGTCAAACGATTCCACGGGGCACCCTCCTCCGGGAGGAGCACGACTAGCGGCTCGTGTTGCTCTGGAAGCTCGTACCTGGTGGGTTAACAAAAAGCGAAAAATTACTATTCGTTCGACTTGTTTAGCGCGCTTTCACACGCTGCGGAGCCGTCGCTCCGCTCGTGGTGGTTCTGGCGGCTCGTACCTGTTCACGCACGAAAAAGTCATTCGTCCGCTTCGCATACTTTCACACGCTGTTGGAGTGTGGCTGCCTGTGGTTGCGCCCCCACCCTCCGCGCTAGGCAACCTGCATCCATCTACCCCTTTGTACGGCCGGCACACGCAACGTTAAGCTGTTCTAGACCCCCCAACGCCAAAGTGTCGTTCTGCTCCTGCTGCAAACCTCTTGCCTCTACTTCCGCTACCCCAAAAAGGGCGAACAAAGTGCAACTTACTTAGTGGATAAGGCGGCCTGCTTACACAAACACGAGGAATACTACCTTAGCAGCAGAAGTGCAGCAGTGTGGAACACAGGCACTTGAAACAGTGAAGAAACGGGGGAAACGATGTGCGGCAAAGACCAGCGGCGCTTGAGCAGTAGGGGTGTTGTTAACCGGCCGCGACGTGGTATCGCTGGCGGCATACTACACCAAGGGTATGGCGGTGCCATATTTCCTACCCATGGTAGAGAAAATATACATGCAGTCACAGAAAGACTGTAGCAGTTCGAGATAACACCACAGCATTCGAAGATTTTACACCACAGCAGTCGAAGATTTTACACCACAGCAGTCGAAGAAAGACTATCCGTTCGAGATCATACCAAAACCGAACGTTTTTCTTTTTGCGCGCTTCCTACCATCGGTTTTCCTTCCACAGAGACGCCGCGGGGATGTTGTGCGACCCGCGGATGCGCGCTTTCCCGAAGCTGGTCTCATCTCGCAGGTCAAGCACCTACCTCCGAGGTCGGACGCGGGGGGGGGGGGGGGGGGGCATGCTCATGTTTTGCACGCCTTTGTTGTTAGACCGTTGACCAC